AGCAGCGGCGTGCAAAACAGCCGTTTCGCACATCGCGGCCGCTCGGGATCTCCCCCTCCCTCCCAGGTTTGAGAGCCTGGGAGGGAGGGGGAGACTCCGAGTGGCCGCGGTGCGGGCGCCGCTGCTCCCCCTCCCTCCCAGGCTCTCAAGCCTGGGAGGGAGGGCGAGTAGTGGCGCGCGAATCAGCTGTTTCGCGCGCCGTGGCAGCAGCAGCGGAGGTGACAGCAGCAGCGGAGCTAGGGCGGCCGGGGCACATTTTTAGGGGCGGCATTCTGGCGCCGGCCATGCCGCCCCTAAAAATGTGCCGCCCCAAGCACCAGCTTGTTTTGCTGGTGCCTAGAGCCGGCCCTGGACGTAAATTCTCAAGGAACTGTAGGTCAGATCTCAACTGGCATAAATCCTTACTGCTCTGTTGACTTCAATGCAACTTTGCCCCTTTACAGCAATGGAGGCTCCGGCCCACTATTTTAAAATTAAATTCTTAAAGTGAATTGGGTTTCAGATTGACAGATCTGGAGCCTACAGGCCTCTCTTTGTCCCAGAAAAAGTACAGTTCAGGGAGGGACATTCCCTTAACCCTGCACTAGATAGCTCTACACTGTCTCTGCCCCGGTCACTTTCTTAACCTGCAGGGAGATAGCTTCACTCTCTAATGCCCAGCTCCCGCCATGCAGAAGAAAAGTTTTTCTTTTAGTTTGCTCCAAACTAAGCTCCACGCTATTCCATGTGATTTGCAGTTGTGCAGTGTGATGGCTTAAATGCTCCAGCTCATGGCTCCCTGACATGCTCTCCGGCTTTTGGGAACTTGCTGTGGAATTCAACCTGTGAGTTTGCCTGTGAAGCAGGGTTTGTATTGAAGGGATCAGACAGGCTGCAGTGTGGCGCTTCTGGAAAGTGGGATGGAGAACAGCCGGAATGCGAAAGCACCTAAGATTAAGCAATTCCTATCAAGTGCTTCGAGTGCAGAAGCTTTGCAAAGATACAGTGATAATATAAGCTCTTGATTTTCACGTAGCACCTTTTTTTCAGAAAGGCTGAACTCTAAGGTGCTTCAGAGAAAGATCACTGAAAGATCATTTGTTTCAGATCTGAAATGTATGTTGATTTGGAGTGGGGTCTGATGCACATCTGTCAGTACCAGAAATGGGGCATAATTTAGAACCGTTTTTAGAGACACTATCTACATCTTACAAGAATAGATTTGTATTTTGGTTACATTTTATGAAATACTGAGACATCCCGAAATCCCGTGTCCAGTCCCCTGAGACACCCAGATCCCACTGCTCCTAGTCACTTTCTTAGCCTGCAGGGAGATAGCTTCGCTCTCTAACGCCCAGCTCCCATCAATGTATATTCTGTTACCATGCAGAAGAAATGTTTTTCTTTTACTTTGTTCCAAACTAAGCTCCATGCTATTCCATGTGATTTGCAGTTGTGCAGTGTGATGGCTTCATAGGCGTGCGCATGGGGTGTGCTGGGTGTGCACAGGCACACCCTAATGCAGGGGTGGGCAAATGGCTCCACTCTCCCTGTGCAGCAAGCCCCGGCCCCTCTCCTGCCTTCCCGGGCCAGCTCCCGCCTGCCATCTCCCCCCCCCCCGCCCGCGGGTCTTCCCCAACCCCATCCCAGAGCATCCCTGCCTGAAAGAAAGCGGCGCGGGCCTATCCCATGCCTGCTTGTGCTGCACATTCCTGCTCAATGGCTGTCTGCTGCCCCAGGGTCCTAGTGCCCCCCATCCCCTAATGGCAGGGCAGGCTGCCCTTATCCTGCCCTTCTGCCCTAGCCCTGAGCTTCTCCAATGCCCCAAACCTCTCATCCTCAGCCCCATCCCTCATCCCCCCCGCACCCTAATCCTCTGCCCCTGCCCTGAGCCCCCTCCTGCGTCATGAACCCCCCCATCCCCATCCCTTATCCCCCCAC